CCCCGTTGTTCTAACAACGTTAAGACGGCTTATCGACTTCTTGAGAAGAATTCTAAGAAGAAAGTAAACCTACAGACATCGGTCTTGTTTAACAAAATCTGCCTACAAACAGAAACGGTAGACGTGCAGTATGTCATGGGCCACTTTTAGGGTTCAAATACCCGGATAATTTGATGAGTATGACTGTGTGTGTATGTCAGGGATACTTGTCTAAGCCCACGTCGACGATGTTACATCTCTGGGAGAGTCTTTCACTGGCGTGTTCATACATTCGTGACGTCACTGCTATACAATGTAGGAGCTCCTTCTTGCATGACGGTTTCATGGAATTAATTTCAACATCTTGATCTCATCCTCGTATTATAACATCCCGTTAAGAATGAATTTGTTTGCTTTTTTTTTGTTCACTCAGGAAAAAAATAGCCTCACATGAACAGTTGTAAGTTATCATAAATCTCTCACATTATGACAAACTGCGTAATGTTTAAATTAACATAACTCGACCGAATTTGAACGGTTACAAAAACAACATTTAAAGATAACATCTATACAAATTACTGGATATACATCTGATATAGAAATGTTTAAAACCTAACTCATACAAATACAGAATGTATGTAACTTCAGGAACAGTTAAGGGAACTTGATCATATATTACTTAAAGGCGCATAGTTATATTATGGAAAACATTTAAAACAAATTAATTCAAAGCTTCACTACACTTGTGGTTACAGCTATTTTGTTATGAGACCTCCAGGTGTCAGTAGGTTAGGGAAAAAGATTATATATATATATGTAGCAATTATAACCTGATGGAGGAGGAATTTTCAAAACGTTGTACGTTGGTCCACTTAGTTTGAACCCGTTCCCCATGTTGTATTGTGTCCCATCAGTATCAACATGAGGATGAGCCGTGGCTGTGTTGACAGCAAGGTACTTGCTCAAATCTACCTAGAAAAGCAAGCGAAAGAAAGTCAAAGCAATAACACATACACAGGGGACTCAATGAAATAACAATGCCCTAGGACACTTTACTAATAATAATTACAAATCTTAAGAGTAAATAATTTAGTGAAGTTAATCACACATTATAAGAACGATGTTCCACGTACTGTGCTGCCATTACAGCTACCTCCTCCATCGTCAATTGTGCTTAAGCTGGTTGAAATAATTGCGCACTATTGCCAGGCAGCAAAACGTTCATTGTAAAAAGCTTCTACAAAAGGTGGCAAACTCAATTTTAGACCACATGTCTCGAAAAACTTTTCACAGACCCTCCAAATGCACAAAGATCCACTGGAGCAACCTAGGAAGACTTGACAGATATGTGGTCGAAAGGTATTGCCGTGATTCCAGTTTCTTCAGCTATTTTTCTCATGAAAACTACTGTTGGTTTCGAGGTGTCACTGAAACTTGAACAATTAGCTTCTTACCCTTCATCAATTTTAACGTCATTATTATTATATTATTAACGGTAATAGAAGGTACGCTCAGCTTTATTGCAATGGAATTTTTGGGTCAGAGGGTTCTCTTTCGTAACTACAGGCTTAATTTATTATTACAGGCATTACTCTGGATTGGTTTGGTGTATGGTTTTGGAGCCCGTTGCTATCCTAAACACTCTGCTGTGCAAGTTTTCCATTTTCAAGGAAAACACTGAATACTCTGATTTTTGAAATATATTTTTGTCCATGCGTCATATTACAATCTCTCTGTAAAAATATGTCTCTTCGGAAAAATGTTATACGCACACAACATTATAACACTGTCTAATAGTCAGGAATTCGCTGTGAACTAAATATACAGCTGTTAAAGGTGTCGCCTGTGGTGCCAGGTTGGCCACGCGACACACTGCTACTTTGGAAAATTCAAATCATTCAAATGCAATTAGCCCCTCTGAACGTCTGTGCGAACAACTAGAATTCTCAGTGTAATAATAAACAAAGGCCTTAGAATAGACAATAATTAACAATATTTATTTAATTATTTTTGGCAAATAATGTTCAAATAGAGAAAACAAAAAATATATTCATAAAAAAAAGCAAAAATGTTTCTAATAATAATGATAACTTACGTCTTAGAGGTTTGAAATGAATGACTACTCATAGCAGCAAGTCATGGTGAGTGTATATTATAAGCGTAGCAAAAAATGTTGGGCATTGGAAGCAAAATTATAGCGTATGTAGTAAAAAAATAATACATTAATTTACATGTTCTTTCATTAACTAAATTAATGATTTAGTATATAAATATTAAGATGTTTATAAAATGCTTAATCGTACAGCATTAATAATTAACAGTGGTACCTATTCTTCCTTTTAAGTTTACCTTAAATTTGTCAAAATACTTTAATTACTGATTCAAGTACGTTAAACAAATATTCTTACATAATAAATATTACGATCTTTTATCTTACCCTGCCTGTAGTTTCCAAAGTTTCGGGATCTACTCTGTGAATGAAATTCGTCTCTGAACATGCATAGAATTGGTCTCCCAGTTGAAAAATGCTCACAACGTCATTGTCAGAAAATTCATCCATGGTAAACACGGACATAAACCTACATATACCAAAAAAATTTATTGTTCTATAATAGATTACATTAGTTATGCACACAAATATATCTTCAATTAAGCAAGATCTAAAATTTTTGAAGATGTACTGATCCCAAGCCACTGCTATACCTAACTTATACGGATTAATCGTGAAAGAATGAGAGTAAAAAAATATATATATATTTTAAATGTTAAATTCTTTATTTTGATTATATAATAATTTGGTTTTTTGAACGAATATTACAAGTTTAAGTCCAAACTTAAATACTAACCTTTGAAAGAGAGTTTTGCATGGATCAGGATGGCCTCTGGTGCCAAATTCTGTCACTACGATACGGTTTGCTTTCATGTTGCGTTTGTATGCTTCACTCTGCAAGAAACGATTTGAGTACATCACGTGACCATCTTGGATGCGAAACTTATGTAACAGCGCCAGGCTATCAAACACGTGATTGTATTTATCAGGACCAATTTCCATCAAACCTCCACCATTCCTGAGCAAACTTCCCCGTAGCCACCTAGGGATTTCACCTGAAAATAGAAGTTTCTAATTAACAATTCCTTTGTCTAAGTACTGGAAAGGTCTCACCTTTTAAATGCTCTTTCTTTATTCAATAATAATAAAAAAAAGATTTTCATGTATTATCAAGTATGTGCGAAATTAACTGTGCCGTGTTTCCTGTTCATGTATATGGTTTGCCGGGCCTCGGTCTCTCTCTCTTTATGTGTGGTGGAAATGAAACGACAATCATGGAAGCGATTTATTCACATATTTGACTTGGATGTGATACGAATAGTCGCATCTTTATGTTCCGTATCTCTCAGGTGTTACACTAAAGCCAGCACTACTTGCATTAAATAGTTTGTTTGTTTGTTTGTTTGTTTTTTTGAATTTCGCGCAAAGCTACACGAGGGCTATCTGCGCTAGCCGTCCCTAATTTAGCAGTGTAAGACTAGAGGGAAGGCAGCTAGTCATCACCACCCACCGCCAACTCTTGGGCTACTCTTTTACCAACGAATAGTGGGATTGACCGTCACATTATAACGCCCCCGCGGCTGAAAGGGCGAGCATGTTCGGTGGGACGGGGATTCAAACCCGCGACCCTCGGATTGCGAGTCGAGCGCCCTAACCACCTGGCCATGCCGGGCCTAAATAGTTAGAGAATTACATCTGTAAGCCATTAAATGTTTTCGCTATAGGTAATGTTAATCTCTTGCTAACTCTCAATTAAACTTTATCATTCACCAATTACTGACTACGGACATATAAATACGTTATACTAAAACAACTGTAAATAAGCAAGTGATCAAGTCATGTGATAACAACAACAAATATAAAATTGTTGTGGATAGGAATGTAACCAGAAATACATTATGGCACTATTTGGTGTTCGTAGGTAGTGTGATGCCACCGAAAATTGATAGCTTTGGGGAAGAGTATGTAACAACCCTTTCTGACGCAAAATGATCATATACTCAGATCATAAAAATGTGTTCAAATTGGAATTTAGAATTTCAAAGATGACATTGGAAAAAAAAGGATCAACTTTGAATTCCAAGTCCCAGAAAGATACCTGTAATAAGTCATACTCCAGTCACGGTAAGCAAAGTGCAAGTGTCTTGTAATAGATAAGAATCCATGAACACAAAGGTCAGTGGCAAAAGCCATCCAAATGTTACAGGCATAAGTATGCAACGTAATCAAGAAGGATCGCTGTCTGGAAAGACAACACAAGTCACATGTACACAGATTGCTTTCACGACATATCTGTTCAACCGTCGCATACCTCAAGCAGATGGGGAATGAAATAGGTATTCATTGTATTCTCTGCAAAGACATACCATTCAAGTTACCAGATACAGCATCTGTGGATTTCTCTGTAATCAGACTGTTAAAATGGATGCTGTGAAACCATAGTCTTCTAGATAACGTAGTAGAATGTCAGACAAAAATGGGATAAATTAAACACAATTGTGATTGAATAGTCATATATATATATATATATATATTGCTATATGTTAATCCTTGTTTGTACTATTATGTAGGAATGATGCAAACGTCACCCCTACTATCTTGATTGCATTGTTTTTGAAGGATTAATATTACTTACATCCTTACATTTACTTCCTTTTTTTTTAAAAGATTTTTCTTTACTTGTTTGCTTGTTTTTTAATGCAATGTTTCAATAGATATAGGAAGGTTGTATTTGTAACCAAGTTCTAAATACAATGAGGTTCCAACTGTAATATTTATTGTTTATCTATTATTGGCTGGTAATTCCAGTTTCACCCTACACTTAAGCTTTATAAAGGAACACCAAAATAATTTTTTTTATTACTACTATTTATTAATAATACTTATTAAAGCGGATACTCCGTTTGAAACTATGTTATCTCAGTGAAGTTGGTTGATACCATTGTTTTGAGTTATCATATAATAAAAAAAGAAGCAGGAGAAATAAGAACATGAAATTCAAACTTTTTGCTATGATATTTACATACATTCCCACAACTTGTAACTCAGTCATTACAAAGACATTGTTATAAAGGAAACACTGTATCGTACTGTAAAGTTCTGAAGACCTATTGAGGAGATATTTAAAATACCATTTCTATGAACAATCCGAGTGGAAACTACGCTGAAGTACTTTTTTCAAGATGCACGGCCGTAAGACAGAGTATGGCCAGACATAGTGACATGGACTATAAAGACGTTGTAAAGCTTCAAAATGTTTTTCGTATAATGTTCAATCTCATTATACACTTTGCTGCTGTGAAGGAAAAAAACTGTCTTAACGCATGATTTTCAGCGCACTATTCAATACTGAAGAGGTAAAAAATTATTAAGTTGTAATATTAAACTGATAACTTTTAATTTATTTTTTTAAATTATTTTCTATATTATAGTGTGACTATACAGTCAGTTTAACTACATTAGTAAATTTAAGTAAGACAGAAATATGAAGTGATTTAGGCTTAACGACCAAGTCAAGGCTATAACTCTATTTGGTAATTATTTGTAATTTGTTAATGTTTCTAAAGTTCTATAAATGTAAAATTTTTATATTATTGGTTATTAATATTGACATATACGGACATATTCAATAGTTTGTAATATATACAAGGATACGGCTGTATTAATGGTAGGCTATGGGACAAAAACTACTAGCGATGAGGGTACCCAACTGATGACCTAGGGCAGAGTGGTCATTGAAGCTTCTTGAAGCTTGCACGTTACTCGCATGTTAGTAATTGTATATTTTTATCAGCTCTTCTGGTAAAATTTATTACATAATAGTAGTATAACTACACGAAAAGGTATCTTTCCATCTCACTTTTAATATTATATTTGACAGTTACTACAACCTGCAGAATTAGGCTAATCCGACATTTGGGTGAAAATTGTTACTTTCACTCTTAGGCCCCCAGTGACGCAGCGGTATGTTTGCGGACTTACAACACTAGAAACCGGTTTTCGATACCCGTGGTGGGCAGAGCACAGATAGCCCTTTGTGTAGCTTTGTGCTTAACTACAAACAAACAAAGAAATTCACTCTTAGAATAAATGATAGTTCAATGATGAAGTATTCCAGTTTTCACTCTTGAAATCATATTTGACAGTTCGATGGTAAAACTATCCATATTTTGGGTGAAATTGCCACTTTTACTCTAATAGTTCGAGAGTAAAGCAACCCAATGTTGACTGAAACTGTCACTCTCACTTTTGGAATAATATTTTTTTTTGACGAATCTTTTTTATTATTTCTACTTGCTCTACATATTTTTCTGTGACCGTCAAAGTTAACGCACTATTCGTTCCTCATCAGCTAGCACAATCTAGGGAACTCTGGGGCATCACAAAGTCTTCCATATAATATGAATGACGAACGGGAAGAGCCTTTCTATGTACAATAATCAGTGCTATATATAGCATCAACCCATGTACAGATAACTTGCTTTCAGTGTCAGTTACTCCATGAAGAGCATGCGCAGACACTTTTACACCCGTGCAATTTTAAACGGTGCCATCAACGATCTACAGTATTTACATTTATATAGCTGGGAATTCCTTGCATGTTATTCACATCCTATATCCTAAAAGTGGCGTCAGAAAAAAAAAGCACATAGTATATTTTCTTTCGTTTCAAATGCAGGAACAGTTTGCCTGGTTGGCAAATTTATACTGTTTCATTTAGCTATACGGATCAAAAATATATTCATCTAGTACTACTTTACTTGTTTGTGTACTTTTGTATACTGTTTCATTTAGCTATACGGATCAAAAATATATTCATCTAGTACTACTTTACTTGTTTGTGTACTTTTGTATACTGTTTCATTTAGCTATACGGATCAAAAATATATTCATCTAGTACTACTTTACTTGTTTGTGTACTTTTTATTGCAGCACTTATTTTGTTTTGGATACTTCTTATAGCAATTCTATGAATAACCAACGATCCCTACTTTCTGTTAAAATTTTGATATTTTTCCTAATTATTTGTTCAGTTTTTATACATCCATGGAATGGACACAACATCTATAAACTTTCAGTATAGCCATATCCCTGTTAGCTATAACTTTTATAAGAATTAAAACCACAATCACAAATTTATAAAATGTAATCCTTACTTTGACCTACAAATAAGTGTATAAAGTTGTCAAAGTGTGGATTAAATTTAATAAATTTGTGATTGTGGTTTTAATTATTGTATCATTACTTTTTTGGTAGGATTCCTACTTCATTTTAAATTTCATAATTTTTAATACTCTTATTTGTTTACTTTTTATGTTATACTTGTATAAAGTATATATTTTACCTTTAGAAACCTTGAATGGGTTTAAAAGATATTTAAGTACGTGCATGTTTACCATTTATAAAAAATCTGTACATATTTATCGGAATATCAAAAGCAGATACCACAGACCAGTCATATAAGCTGGAGAAACCTTGTAGAGATAGTCCGAGCCGTCTAGGGGCTAGCCCCGCTGACAGATCAAGTAGGTAGGTAGTAGACGAAAAAGTTGCTGTTTTAGAAATTTTTGAATTGTTATACCGGAAATGCTAGCGAACGTTTTAGCATATTATAAGTATATATGCGCATAATATATGGTAACTAATATTTTGAATGGTCGGTTTTTCACTTAGGAATTCAATTGGGTGGTTTTTCGGCGCGTGAATTACTTGGAAACCTTGTCGATCCCTATTGTTAAGTTCTACCGTACTTAATAATAGAGATAGTGATAGGTTTTATGACTTACAGGTTACTCTTCAACAGTTTGAAAATTACTACAGTATTTTAATACTTTTAATCCACAAAGAAACAATTAAAACAAAGACTTTTAGCATTTAAGGAAAGCAATATTGTTTTATATATGAATATGTACTGTGTTAAGAATTTAGCGATGTACGAGATAGGCTTTCAAGAGATTAAAGTCGACTCACTGTGATGGTAGAAATTTTCACTTTATAATCAGTTTTTTTTTATTTATCACAACCTTCCAAGATCTCACAACGAAGTTGAAAACTAGGTTTAACTGTTTGGTTAGTTAAATTTGTTTCCAATATTTGTACAAAGCTACACAACGGCTATCTGCGCTAGACGTCTCTAATTTTGAGCTGATATGTTAGAGGGAAGGCAGCTAGTCAGTATCACCTACCCAAAGAAGTAACGGGGAAGTAACAAAGTGAGATAATTCAATTCTCAAGTTCACAATTTTTGGAAAAAGCCCCCCCCCCCCAAAAAAAAAAATGTAGTGTTGGCTATGCACCTGTGCACTGCCAACTCTGGGGTTACTCTAATCAAACAGTAGAATTTGACCGACACACATAACGCACCTATGAACCTTGAACCTTCTGATCCAAGTCCAGCACATAAACAATTATATCACGCCTCGTCCTTTATCGATTAGAAAAATCAACGATTCGAATAACAAACAGTGTATAGGTATAAAATGGCACTATTCCGATACAGTGTTATTGTTAGCAAGAATACAAACACAGCCAAGACATGAGCATGGAATTTCAGACTTTTCTTTTCATATACAAGAAAAACTGGAAACATTAATTATAGCACATCATTTATGACTTATAGGGTATTAAACAAAGGTAACATTGGTAATATGTTTTTACAAAGCATTGTAGCAAGACCTGGTAAATCAATGGGAGATACCTTGTTTTGCTTTTTTCAGCAATACTGTATATCAGTCATTATTTCGTACATCAAAAAATCTAGTTTCCATGCAGTTACCATAAGTATTATCATGCTTCGCTTGTAAAAGGCGTTCACATAATAACAATTGTTGTTGTAACATATGGCTTACATAAATAATATTTCGGCGACTGCTGTGTTTGTTGTATCCCAGCCTGTTTTTTGTGTTTTTTTTTTAATTTCGCGTAAAGCTACACGAGGGCTATCTGCGCTAGCCGTCCCTAATTTAGTAGTGTAAGACTACAGGGAAGGCAGCTAGTCATCACCACCCACCGCCAACTCTTGGGCTACTCTTTTACCAACGAATAGTGGGATTGACCGTCACATTATAACGCCCCACGGCTGAAAGGGCGAGCATGTTTGGTGTGACGGGGATTCGAACCCGCGACCCTCAGATTGCGAGTCGAGCGCCCTAACCACCTGGCCATGCCGGGCCCCCAGCCTGGCTGAATAGCTTTTGACTGAGCGAAACGTGTCGTCGGCAATGAATATGGCAAATAAACTGTGGTTCAAATACTACTATTATACACTCTTCTAATTCTTCAAAATTCCTAAATGAATAAAAGAAGCGTTAAAATATAATAGGCTTACTACTGATATCTTATAATCACGTTTCAACAGCTTGTAAAAGGCGTTCACAACATAAATGTTTCTAAGTTGGTGTAGGCCTATGTTACAAATAACAGTAACTAACGTTGGACAAGTTATGTTATGGATTTAGCGCAAAGCTACACGAGGGTTATCTGCGCTAGCAGTCCCTAATTTAGCAGTGTAAGACTAGAGGGATTTTTCGCCACATGTAAAATGGTTTAAGTCTTTACTTTTCCGCTAAATATATATTCATAGAGAAGAACAAGCCAATATCACTTTCACGAACACTTACTTCTACTAAATGCTTTCGTATAGGCATAGCTCATTTAAACTTGTTCAAATATGCCGTGTCAACCACAGTTTTTCCACAAGCATCATGGCTACCACAGCTGTTAGCTTCAAATATGGCAGCCGAATAAGCCGTCTATGTATTATAGGTCGTTGGATTAATGTCTGTTTTTGACATTTTTACTTTTTGATTTGATGAAGGCGTAATGACGAAACGTTGGCTCACATACAATGTTATTTAATCTGGAGTAACATGTCCCAGTTTTATTTCTCCCAAATAGCCCTCAGCGGGTCAGTAGGAAGTTTAAGTATTTACAGCGCTAAATTCCGGGGGTCGATTCCCACGGTGGACAGAGTAGCCAAGGGGGCCCGGCCCCCTGAAAATCTAGGCATATTGATCACGTTATTTTCCATCTTTTATGGTATATAATAAACTCGTTTTGTATCATTTAATAAAATAATATAACTTCTAAAAACACTATTACACTTAATTAAAAATTTAGATCAATTTCGGCTTTTTAATTTATTGCCCCCTAAAATTTTCTGCCCCAAGTGGAAAACCTGGCTACGCCACTGACAGTGGACAGAGCGCGGGTAACCAACTCTGTAGCTTTGCGCTAAGAGAACAACATCATAAATAGGAAAAAAAACTATCCTGTCCACATAATGATCCTTTAAATTCTCTAAGTAGCTACATACATGATGAAAAATTAATACTTATATTTTATGAATAGATAATAGCCTTATGAGCCAAACAGAAATACAGTGATAACAAGTTGTTAATTTCCCAAACTGTTTGTGTTTGTTTGAAGTTAAGCACAAAGCTACACAATACTTCATCATTGAACTATCATTTATTCTAAGAGTGAATTTCTTTGTTTGTTTGTAGTTAAGCACAAAGCTACACAACGGTGTACCTGTGCTCTGCCCACCACGGTTCTCGAAACCGGTTTCTAGCGTTGTAAATCCGCAGACATGCCGCTGTGCCACTAGGGGGCTCCCAAGCTGTATCGAAACAATTTCAACTTATAGTTGATGCAACTTAAACATATGAATATTGTCCATAAATTATATAGGTATATAAACACACACACACGTTGGTAACTGATGGAAAAACAAAATAGTTGTTTAGTTGTACCAGAGTTATAGACAAAAGTTAATGTATAATAATATAAAATCTAACAGATAACTATGGAAAACTTGTGGATTAATAAACTGTCAACAGTTAATCAAACAGATTATTAGATGGCTGGGTGAATATATAAAGAATACAAATAGACAGTTATAATATTAATTTTAGACACAAAAAACCCAGTTAAGTCGATATTTCTTTCACACAAATTACAAACACGATTTCTTAAAGTTCATTATCGTTATAACTCTCGTCTTAAAAGTTAAACTCTTAAAGAGACTACCTTGTGAGAAAACAAGTTAGTATTTCGCTTACATACTTACATAACTATTTAATCTATAACTATTTTTTTCATTTTTGGCATGATATTTTGAATAAAACAAGAGCCTAAAATTTGGAACGTACTCATTTTCCGCGTTTCGTAAATACCGTGCGCCAGTGCTAGTACTAACAATGTTAAATGGGTAAGCTTAATTCGTCTCACATTAATATAAAAAAGAATAACTTGAAAAATGATTTGAAAGAGTTGATTTACCAGTGACAATTCCTTCGATAGGTTCAGAGCATTCTTTCCTGCACGATCTTAAAAATGGAATTAAATTTGAGACTTTATCTGCGATTATTCCTTGTTTCGTCGGTTCTTCTGCCATGCCTAAAGTCGTAACTCACGATGTTTAGACTAAATATTGATTTTAGATTGACACAAACACTAGAGAGCGCTGTTCATATACCTTTGGATCAATTTTCGTGGAATTTAATTACAAGTAATTTTTATCGATACGTATTTTTTTAAATACATTGGTATTATTTACTCAAAAATATTTTGTTTCCAGCACGATGTTATTTTGTGATGTAATTTGAATTATTATAAAAATATACATAAAAAATCCTATTAGTTGTCCCTACTTGTAAGTGATAGCTTGATAAGAGAGAGAATTTTAATAACTGAAACAAAGTCAGGGTAGCATGCTAAGGAACCTGCTTGAATAAAAAAAATTTAACTCAAAATAATCATCTAATTAGTATAAATTATTTCTATTACCTTACAAGAATTAGGTAGTATATCCAATTCTTTTTGCTTTTATTTTTTCACATCGCCTATTGTTTGCTTCTATCGTTTGTCAACAGATGGCGGTAAAGTGTAGAGTTATGTGCTGCAATACCACTTTTTTCTTGGGACGCTGGACGCGACCAAACGATTGAAGAGGTGGACTGCGGATCTAAAGGTGTGAGACTCGCTCGTCGTGCTGCCACAGTATTTTGTACTTTCAGTTTTGGATGTAATATACGAGTAACGGTCAGTCCCATGATACAGTTCAAAGCTATTGTGCTGATGAGTGCTGTAGGCAGACTGTGTTGACTTTGGTTAAGAGGTTGAAATTTAGGGACTGTCATACCTGAATCCTTCGGTCTCTCACTTAGCAATTTAGTTCAGTAGATAATTCAGTTATATAATTTTTCAAGTGTTTATCAATAATATTTCTATAAAATATTCCTTCATTACTGCTATTTTTATTTATTTTTTATTAAACAAAAAGTGAAAATTACAAAAATAAAACACGGAAATATTTTCCAGTTTTCAGTCATATTATTAGATAGAATAAGAATGAATGTATACTTAGGTCATTGTCATTCAAAACTGAGTCTTAATCTGTCAAAAACCAAAACGATTATATTACAGCAGTGGAAAAAGTTATAGCATCGCCCAATTTTTTTCACGTTTTTCTTCGGAATCATCGTTTGTTTGAGGTCCTAATGCGTGTAGGTGGGAATGTGTTTCATGGATGATGCAGTAGTATCTACTTATTATATCAGTAGCTTTATAGGCTGTCTGAGTATAGGATCAGCCGTTTATTGGCTGTAAATAGAGATTCTTACTGAATGGCCAAGGGTTGTGAGTTAACTCCATGGAAAAAAGCAGTTATTATTTTTTGAGCAAATAAGGACTTTCAACAAGACAGATTGCTAGAAGAATCAAATTAAACCAGTCAACTTTGAGCCGATGGGTGCAGAGATATAGAGAGATTGGCTGTGTGGAGCGGCGGAATAGAAGGGGCAGGAAGAAAGCTTTCATAACAGTTGACGATCGTGTTCTGAAAGGCATGAGCCTGCAGGATCGTCGACTGTCGTCCAAAGATTTCAAAAGATTATGGCAGGAAACATCAGTGGTCACTGTCACCGCACACACCATCTGACCTCGCCTGTGTTCAGCCGGTCTCCCAGCAAGATGGCCAAGAAAGAAACCCCTCCTCACCAACAAGATGAGGTTCAACTGGGCCAAACAACTTGTTGAATGGACTGAAGCAAAGTGATCTTCTCAGAAGAATCAAAGTTCAACAAAGTACAATGTTGTTGTAATGTTGTTCCATTGTTGGTCGGGTTTCTTAAAATTATCTCGCGAGAATAATTCGAGCCCCCCCCCCCTCCCCGTCCACGTGACGATAACAAATTAGTTTATCTTCTTTAACGTTCCTACAAGCTGTCTTTACTTAGATACCGTTGTAACTTACAGGCCTAAGGAAATACCATGCTAATTGTGTTACGTAACGTAAAAATAAACTTACTTGTACAGTTTCACTGCTGATCGATCAAGTAATTGAATATACAGGTTAACTAACACGGATCAAAATACTTCACTAAATTTTCATTGAAAGCCTTGTTTGTTTTTTTTATAGCAAAGTCACATCGGGCTATCTGCTGTGTCCACCGAAGGGAATCGAACCGCTGATTTTAGCGTTGTACATCTGTAGACTTACCGCTGTCCCAGCGGGGGACAACTGAAAGTAAAGCTAACTCAATACTGGTATTTATATCTAATCCTTGTTCTAGACAGTTCACAAAGTCTCTCGATCATTACATCATCATTACGACTCATAGCTTCTTCTAGCAAACAAACAAATTACAAACATTAAAAATATAGATACAACAATACGTTAGACCTGTGTTAGCATTGCATATGAAAACTTATTTTTACTTTTTTTACACACGCACACACGAAATAAAAAGCACAGAAGTAAACAACAACAAAGCCACAAGAATAATCACCTTACTGCTGATATTGATACACCTAGAATGTAGGCATAACATGAATTTCATAAAACAAACGAAAAAAACTGAAGATATTAAGTTGTTGTTTTTTTTTCTAGCGAAGGGTTCGCTTTTCCAAGAAATCTCTAAATGTTTTGGCGCACATTTTGAGCTTAGTTTCTTTTTTTGACCTCGTCAAAACTTTGAAATTTTTTGAGAATACTAAGACTTGTGACATTTACTGGTTTATCATATCGCTTCAAACTAAGCTACTAAAATAAAAAGTTTTGATGTTTTTTTAAGTAAGTTTAATTTGTAATTATCTCTAATTATATTTCTTACTTAGACCGAGATATTATTTCATTTGTCGGCCTACTGTCGTTTTATTTTTTGAACAAATCATACAAGTCAAAGTAATATTTGTAGAATAAACGTCAAACAATAAAATATTTATTGACTATCTTTTGATTCAGATTATACGTCAAAGAGAGAGATAATTATGAGGTTAAAGAACGTATACAGACCCGTTAGGGGAGTAGATCTTGACCAACTTCTAACTGATGAGAAATATTTTATCATATTCTTTTATTGAACATTTAGAAGGTGCTACCATCTAGTAGCAGTTGACTTAAACTAAATATATAAAAAAATAGAAAAATAGTATCAGAAGACGTAATCGTATTTACACTTTGTACAAAGGTCACTATAGTAACGCTTGGGAATCGAAAGAAATAAAAGGTAGAACAGTGTCTTAAAAGAATTAGCTTTACATGACAAATTACATTCCTACCCACTGCATAATGGATGTCCATATATATAAAGATGCATCTTTCGTAAATCATGTCTTTCTTTTATTGCTTTTTTTAGTTATCTAACGATGTGTAAGTAGTGTAATAAGTATAAGTTAATTCTGTGTTCTTGTTACTTACTTTAGGAAGCATAATTCAGCGTGTTCTGCGTGTTAAAATTGTTTTGTGCACATTAATAATAATTATCAACTAATATTTACTCGTACTCTTTTGTAAATTTCTGGTTGCTCGTGAACAATTTTACACGATCTTTCATCAACTTACTCTTTTCAAATAAACAATTAAAATATAGGCTAAATATTAAACCATAACGACTATTGGGATTTATCAAAATTTACTCTGAAGACTGATGGCCGCTGTCAGTCATATTTATTTTTGAAACATAAAAACACTTCAGCATAAATGAGGGCCTTCGTCACATACTTTTCATTAACAAGCTTTGAATAATTTCTGAGGTTCATTAAAAACAAAGCTAAACTATAGAAATATAGCTAGTTAAATAAATACTCTATATATGTATGTGTGTCTGTGTGTGCATATAAAATTTCTGCTATAAATCAACTATATTTGCTACAGTATTTCCTAATTTAAAAAGTTTATTACGATATAATTGTTTTCATTCTGCATGATATGAATTCAAGTATGGACGATACTCTAAACAAACGTTCAAAATTAAATGGCCCGGCATAGCCAGGTGGTTAGGATGCTCGACTCACAATCTGAGGGTCGCGGGTGCGAATCCCCGTCACACCAAACATGCTCGCCCTTTTAGCCGTGGGGGCGTTATATTGTGACGGTCTATCCCCCCTATCTTTGGTAATAGA